GCAGGGCCGCGGGGCGAGGGTGGCCCCTCCCCGCGGCGAGGCCCCTCGGAGAGGCGGGGGGAGGCCCAGCCTTGAGTGCTCGCAAGTCCTGTTTTGGTTATGAGGCCTTTGGCTAATCCTAATCTCGGAACAAGGCCATGGCCTAAGGGAAGCCGTGCAATCTTTTAACTTAATGGAAACGGGTGAGGGAACTTTTGGGAGTCCTGTCAACTCCCAGCTGTGGGGTTTCAGGTTCTGAGTAGTCATATGCAAAAGGCCAGAGGAGGTCAAACTCACTGGAGAGTGAGTGGGCAGAGAACCTCTTGTCCGCTGGATTATTTTCCTGGGTGTTTTCCAGGATAAGGGGCAGTTATATGACCCCAAGAAGGTTCCTATTCAGCATTTGAAAATGGAGTGCTGCCTTCTAGGTATTGACACGAACAGAAATGTGAAACCACAGATATATGTTGTTCTGTGATACCTTTCATTATAGCCTGAGCCTTTAATATTCTTATTGACAGTTTCACAGCTGTTCTTGATGGTGTGAGCGTTTATGAACTGGAAGAAGGAAAACAATATAGGTGGTTTGCTGATTCTGTGAGGCAGATGGATGTTTGTATTGTATTCACTATTGTAGCAATGACTTTTTCCACAGTTGATAAAACCTTCATCTCTCCACACAAACTCACGTTCAAGGATGTTCTGTTTGTTTGTTCTGTGTATACATATATAATTATAAAAATGCTAGTGTTTAAGCACCAGAGTTGTGCAAAACTCTGCTGTCTGAAAGCAGAAACAGCATAACTCCTTCACACTAATTCTGATAAACGGAATCCTAAACATGCGTAGGATCTATTTTGCTATGATATAGGAAATGTGGTTTAACACCAGAGATTAGATTGTCTGAAGTCAAAACTTGTGCAATGTGAAAACTCAGTGCTGTTGAAATGAGAGTAACTCCACTCTTGAGCTACAAAGCGTGAACTTAATCTGCAGCACCTGTTATTGGGCTTTCTTCAAACAAATGTAACTGTCTTCAGAATTGTGTTATTTTGCCCACGAATTTTTGACATATGTTTTTAATCCAACCTTTTCCAGCCCTTTCAAAAAACTTTCTGAATGAGCCCTCTACAGTGCTAGAAACTTGAAAGCTTTTTTTTTTTTTTTTTTTTTTTAATTATGAAGAAAATGATGCTAAAGCCTCCATTCCATTTGAGGTGTCCTGTTAAGGACGATAAAGTAGTTTAACAGTTTGCAGGATTAAATGGTAAAGCCTCAGTGCTTCAAGCATTCATATGTTTAATTTTAAGTGTAGGAATGATTTATTTTGCTTAATGGTGCACAAAAATATCTCTCCAACGGGATGCCTGTGCATTCTGAGTTTGATACAATCCTGAGAGATGCGTTTGGTAAGTTTTTCTGTTTGGAAGCACTTAACTTATGCGCTCAAGAGTGATCTGTAGTAAGCAGTGCCTATCACAAAGCTCTGCGGTTGCCCATAGAGCTTTTTTGAAGAGAGGTTTTGGGTTAAACCTTGAGTCTTTGTAAATCATACTCACGATGTTTGCTTAGTCAAGATGAAGGATGCTGGAAAAAAAAAACTATCAAACATTTATTTTCCTCTTTTACATCTCTTGTGTGGCATTGGGGCGGGGAAAAAAAGAACCCTTTTCACCTCAAAAAATGAAATTCCCCCAAACTTTCACTTTTTTGTTTTTAGAAAGCAAGCTTTTTTTTTGGGGGGGGGGGTTGTTGTCATTGCTTATTTTTCTTTTCTATTGCAGATCACTTGCTGTATTCCATATTTGTGTAGGAGCAAGTGTACTCATAGTTATTCAGTCTTTTTGAGATGATGGGAAAGCACAAAGTTTTTTTTTTTTTTGTTAGAATTGTTTTAGTGTGTTACTTAATTTGTCATGATAAGTAAGACATCCAAAGTTTCAGTATGAATTATGTGTCGTGGTTATAACTTAAATTTTGGGGGTTTATTTATTTATAACTTATTTATAATACATCTTAAAGGGTGATCGGAATGTTGTGAATAGTGTTCTTAGGCTCCTAGCTTGGGTTTGTTATTTCTGTGCCTGGAGTTTCTAAAAGTAAACTTTAGTTACAGTGTTTCAGTGAATTTAGCCCTAAATACCTAGCAGACAGATGTGTTTTAAAACAACTTATATTTTTTCTAGTCTAATAGCTTTCACGAAGCTGCTGTTTTCTGAGTACACACTAGCTGTAGTGACTCTATTAGGCTTTTTGTAGAATAGATGCCTTTGCATGCTGTGTTGATGATTTGAGTTCCTGATCCGCAAAGACTTGAGCAATGTGTGTTTGTTGCATATAGACGTAGTTCTGCAAAGCCAAATGGATCCACTCAGTGTGCGTTAAGCTTCGGTGGGATCATAGCCCAAATAGAGAAGCCACAGAGTATACTAAGAAAAGCAGATGCAAAAAAACTCATCTGTGATGAGCACTACGTGTTAATCTTAAAAACATAAATCACTTCTTCTTCTCCAATAGTAATGGCTCTACAAGTTTGTTCCTTCTCCAAAGTATGGAAAAGTCTTCCTACAAATAAAGAGATAAGGTTGAGTATAGCAGTGTAAATAGCCAAGAAATGGATATACGACCTGTTGGTTTCTTGATTGCAGTAGCAGTGACCTTGATGGACACTTGAGTATCTGCCGGATGTTACTACATTTTTCTTCAACATGACCTGTGTTGGAAAAAGCTTATCCTGGCCTCAGTGAGTGTGGCTTTTTTTGTGGCAGGAATTTGTTCTGTTTCACACTTCAGGTCAGACTTTTAAATAAGTTGACATATAGTGTAAGAATACACTATAGATATACAATATAGATAAAGCAATGTGATTAATATAGGATATTAATAACTCTTTTCTCTACAAAAGACATGTTTGGAATTTGTAAATTCAGTGTTGCACATGCTGCTGCTGTTTTTATTTAATGTATGGATGATTTGACTCAATTAGTAGTAATGAAACTTTTTATTATCACTTGTGAAGCCTTTTATAAGTATAAAGTTAAAACATGATGACAGCAATGGCTTGTTGCCATTCAATTTCTCTATCTGATTTATATTTGCTTCCGTAGAGAAGCATAAAACATCTAGAGAAGATGTGAAAATAGTTTTTGTCATTCTCTGGGATCTCTAAGAAGTAGACCCTATGCTTTTGCTTACCTGACAATTGTGTTCTTAAAGCAAGGACCTATACAGCCATTTTGTATTCACTGTATACATTTGCAGGTAGCACCCTTGTTGGCTTCAGTCATTTCTTTTAAATTCTTGACCTCTAAATTTCACTCAGGGTACACAGTTTACATACTATATTTTATCAAAAAAAAAAAAAGATGCTCTGTATCAGTATATTTGTGTTTTTAGGAAAGTTTTCTTACATTATTGGAGTAGAAAGTAATTTATACAACTTAAATATTTTAAAATACATTTCAGGCTCAGAAGACGAAGCAGAAAAACACGAAGATATGGAGTTTTGGATACAAACATAGAGAACATGGAGCTGACTCCATTGGAACAAGATGATGAAGAGGATGATACAACACTGTTTGATGCAAATCATCCTCGAAGGTTTGTATATAGAAGCTAAATGTATTTCTAATAATAGAAGTGAAGGAGTGTGGATGAGGAGCAGTTTCACTGAGAAAGCTCCCTATACGCATGTAGTTGGAGAAGGGCTGTTAAGATCCTTGAATTTTAAATGGTCTAGAGGTTAGTGCACAAGCAGATAGACCTAGTACTTCAGTTACTCTTTATTTACTGCAGAATACCATTTTTTTCCAGCATCTGAGTCCCAGAGAAATGGTAAGCAGGATATTTTTGTTCTAAATGCAATGTCCTTACTGCTGCATAATCTTGAAGTTCACTGCTAACTTCTACATTTCTTTTATCTCCTCAGTTTTTGTATGTTCTCTCCTACTAGTTCAGAACCTTGTTCTACTTTTCTTTGCTAAAATAATCAGCAGTTGATAATGATCCTGCACTAAGTTTTAGCTTTGATATTTCTGCACAGATAAGCATGCTTTTTGTTTGTTTTGTGGTTTTGTTTTTGTCATGGTCTGGAACTATCTGTGTAGATAGAGGAAAAATTTGTTGTAGATAAGCTGTCCAGTTTCAATGCATCCTTTGTAAGTTCTGAATTTTCTTCTGCTCAAGAGCTTTGAATGGAGACAAGATGCTTATTTTAACCCTTGTTATCCCCTCTGAGTTTTGGAATTGCAATTCAAAATTAATAAACATAATTTTTCTTAATTGAATAAATCTATTGGGCTGCACATACAGAGATAGCAGAATTCTGAAAATGCTGAGTACTACCAAAAATCAGAAAAGATACAATGATTCATCTTAATTTTGCTGGTCACAGTTGGCAAGTGACTCAACACTTCTTACTGTGAAATGAGATAAATTCTTGAAGAAACAATGCAGCAAATGCAATGCATGGTGCCCCAAATGAATTAGAAGTAATGGATTCAAAAGGCAGACTGTTCTGCTGATTATCCAAAAGCGGCTGTTAGATGGCAATACTGAAACTTGAGCTGAAAGAAAGATGAAGCCAGTCTTATATTTGTCTCCTTAGAGGGAACATTTTAAATGTTTTGTTTGTTTGTTTTTACACATACTTGGTCAGATCTGTGACTATTTATGTCCATAGTTACTTTTTCCTTAGTCTCTCCCCAACACATTAAAAGAAGATTGCTGGCATATTGTAGCTTACTTCTGCATATTGGAGAGACCTGTGGCATTTATGGATGCCTTTTGGCAATAACATCCCAGTATAAATGATAAAATCATGTAAAAGTTAATTGCTATGGTATATCCAGGAATTCCCTTGATGTCTTTTCTGGGTGTTGACTTCTCTTGTAATACAACATACTTAAACTTTAAGGTGTTTGATGACCAGTTAATATGATACTTCTTCTTAAATGCATGGTTACAGGATTATCAAACAACTTCTATTCTATGAATGAACTTGTGTTCATGTTATAAAGGCTTCTTGATACTCTTGTGTGCTTACTTGGAGGTGAAACAACCTTGTATGTAATATTAAGCTTCAAGGAGCAATATGCCTAATTATGTTGCTGTTGAGCAGTATTTTATCTATAAGATGCTATACTATTAGCAGATTAAGTAGGTGTGTATGTATATCTCTATATAGTATGTCTTCTACTGCAGTAAGTAGTATAGCAACCGATCTCCTGTATTTATATAGGTATTTTGGTTAAGACTTTTAGTTTACCTCCTTCAGAGATTGGGCGGAATTACATAAGCTTTCAGATGCTGGCATGGTAACATGTGGCATGCTTGAACATTTTTAATCTTAGGTTGCTATTTAAGCTTAACTCATATTTTGTGGGTAAATCTCAAATCCATAGTTTGAAGCACATTGCGTGTTAAGATAAACAATCTTGTGCTTCTTAGTACTTGACTACCAGAAACTCCCCAAACAGTTGGTCATTGCATCTGTTTCTTTTAACTTCTTCTAAATTGGAATCGGGGGAAGACCGTATAGGGAGAGGTCACCCAAATAAAATCAGAGGTTTTCAGAAGAGCAGATTTCTTGCTACATATGTTTACTTGTATGTTTCTGAACACCTACATTTGAGGAGGAATTTACTTTTTTTCAAGTAATTTCTTGTAGAAGTATCCAAGATGTATGTTTGGCATTAGAGATAGGTTATGTCACATCATTTGTGGTGAAAAGAATTTTCCCTCCTTCCCTCCTCTCCCTCGTCCTCCTGCCCTCCCCCCACAAAAAAACCTCTAAACTACTTAAATGGAAAAAAAAAGCTATTATAGTCATGTACTATGATCCTATCACAGTTTGTGATGTAGCTAAAGCATATAAAGCAAATACTGTTCTTGTCTACTTTATGTACTTTAGTTCCTTGGATGTTTCATTCTTGTCCTGGATGCAATGAATAAGGTGAAAATGGAAATGGAAGTACTGAGGATGGAAGCATAGTTTAGACTAGAGGTGTTTTGTTTTTATTTTATTTTTTCCCATTTACCTACACAAAATGTGTCTGGGGTGGTGCTGGCATGTGTGTGGGTATGTGTGTATACATATACATGCCTCATTAACTGCCCAAAATAAAAATGCTCTAGAATGCAAAACCAAAAGAAACAAACCTGGCAGTTTCTAAAATATAAACAGGACTGCATTAAAGTTCTTAACTATTATGCTTATCAAGGGAGCAGAAAATATTTTATTTCCACGTCAAAAGTATCTTGGAAACTCATTCTCAATGGAGTGGCTAGGAGCTGATGCTTATCACAGAGGTCATCTTATGGTTTGCCATATTTCTGTTTTACTACAGATTTTCTTGCATTATTTCCCGTGAGAGAGAGCTTGAACTACACTTGTCATCAGTTTTGATATCTAACAAAATTTTTATATAATGATGTAATATTATAGCTTGAAAAACTGTCCTGTTTTTAAAATACGCAGGCTCCCTTTAAGTACTGCAGGAAGTCATTATTTAGTTTAGCTATAGCAAGCAGTATGAAGATGTTTTAAAAAAAATTATTGATCCATTCTTTTCTAGAAATAGTTCTCTAGAATGCCATATTGTATAAGCAGTTCAGGTGCATTAGCAATGTTTCATTTCTTTGATACAGCTACTGTCAGATAAATTAAGCATTTATGTTAATAGGAAAAAGTGGAAAAAATGAAAAGTGTGCAAGTAAGAAACAATATCTCCTTGCTGAAAGAGCTTCTAAATATATAGTCTTTTAAAAAACAAATATATGTATATATTTCAGCTGGTGAAACAAAACTTGATATATTGTGTGAGTCATAGCCCTGAAAAAGTATAGGAGGGGGAGTGGAATATGCTTAAGCATATTACACTCTGGAGTCAATATATAAATTGATGTAACCTATAGCGTAGGCATACCTTTACTTCTGACTTATGGGGCTGTGAAAATGCCCAAGCTTTTATGTGTTTTCTCAGAGAAATGGTAAGTGGAATTGGTAATGTCACCTTCTGACCCAGACTGTGCAAGAACGAGAATTGTGTCAGAGTGCCTAGTGAACCACATTTGCTTTCAGGAAATCTTCCTGTTAACTTGTTGAGGAAAGCTGGCAAAACAGAACAGAAGGTCTTCAAAAGAGAATAACCATAATGATGGAGAAATAAAATGTTACTGTTTCAGGATAGCTCAAAAGATGCTTAAGTGGTCCAAACCATTATTTTGGAAGTAGGAGCTTGAGAAAATAAGTACTTCAAATTATGCTTAATAAATAAGAAAAAATGAATGCACTTGGCTTGTAATACTGAGAACTATGCTCTCCTGTATAGCAAGAAGCTCTCAATTTTCCAAAATATTTTTTATATTTTAATAGCAGTTTTGCGTATGAGAAAAACGGTACTGGGCAATGTCAGTCTTTCCCACAGACATCTGGGTGAGCCACTGTCTGAAATGCCATCCAAAACTGTACTCAGTGAGGGCATGGAAAGAGAAGCTTGAAAAAATTATCATTTTGGATGTGTTTTTTTTTCCCCTGTTATTTTCTTCCCCTTATTATAGCTAAATCTTTTGCAAATTCATCCTTTTAGCCATCTGCACTAAAGCTTAATAGTCTGTCTTCATATTATTGCCCAGGTAGAATAACCAAAGGGAGTGCAAAAATGCATAAGGACTCAGACACGCTGAGGGGAACTTGATGGTAATGATACTTGGATATTCTCAGTAGATGCCATTAAGCTTTGTCCTGATGTTTGCAAAGATTCAAAACTCTGTTAAAGGTAGCATTAAGTATGTTGTCGGGCTTAGAGCAGTTGATTAGAGAAATAGCAAGAGGGTCCTTGGTTATTGAGCTCAGTCCCTTGCTTTAATATGCAACCAGAGTTGCAATTTTCCTTAACAACTGTCAAGAATGAGCTTGTTCAGTTCATAAGTTGCTTGCCCTTATTACAAAAACTAACCATCAGTCACAGAAAATTAGACTTGTAATCTTCTGTGTGTTCTGGACAATTTATGTGCATTTATTACACATAACAGATTACATAAGTATTATTTTATATACTGATAGTTGTCTTTTTTTTTTCTCCTTTTTTCTCTGTGACCTGTTTATATACTGCAGTAATAGCTACTCTGCTTTCACTTTTCCTGGCTAGACCAAGATTTTTTTAAAAAATTTATTTAAGGTAGTAACTGTACCGTACTGTCTGTGTTAGAGATTTCTATAGGCTAACTTTGAGATAGTTGCAAAGTCGATATGATTCTTTACAAGGTTGGCCAGAGGCGCTGGCTTCTTCCCTAAAACCAGTATAGCAGTATCCAGTATATTCTGCCTATACAGTTTATTATTTCCAGCTTTGTTACTGTTTCTTTCAGAGCTTCATGAAATATCATAACTATGATTTTACACAGGTGACTTCAGTGAATAGTAAAATGTTTATTTATTTGTCTTAAACTTTGGTCTTTAAAAGTGTTTGTAAAAATTTTCACTTGTAACAGGGCATTTCAATGATTGCATGTTTCTTCTGTTGCAGATAAGTACGTGCCTTTCAGTGAAAGAACTTAATCATGAAACCAGAGAAAAAGACTGCTTCATAGGAGGAGTAAGAACCAAATAGCAAGAGAGTATGGAATTTGAGGAAATAATTTAAGTTGTATATATTATGTCATCCTTGATTTGTTGCAATAAATACTGTACCAATTTGTTGTACTTTTTTGTATATATATGTATAGAATTCTAAATATAAAGCCTAAGGAGCAAGTGTGCACTGAAATCAAAACCTATTTGAAAGTGAGGTTACTTTAAAACAGGGTATTTTTTGCTTGTTCTGAATCTTGTATGCCATAGGCATGGTGTACACTTTTTTTCTACACTAACCTGGAATGTTAAATAACTTTTTGCGGGTGTAAACTTGTAAGTAAACCTAAGTAGCATAGCCTCTGTGAACTCTTCAGTGTTGTTGGTACTTGATTAGTTAAGGAGATGCTTTATCCTTCACAAACAAAAAGCCAGACTACTGCCTCTTGTGTTAAGATTTTTTTAAAAAAAACTAACATGTTGTATGGAAACTAAGTGTACAATTAAAAATGTTTACAATGTTCCTAGCATTTAGTGTCCTACTTTATAGATACTAAGGATATGACTGATATGATCTTATTACAGTAATGCAGCACACCTCTGCTTTTAAATTAACTGGTTCCAGCCATAAAGTCCACTAGGTTCTGAGGCCCTCTTCAACTGGCATGAGCAGGTGGGTGTTGCTGCACTGACTCCAGAGCACTGCTGGTGTTTGCTACATGCTCTCAGTGTTCAGTCCTTTACCCTTGTTTTAAAATGTAGAACAAATAATACACTTCTGCCATCACTCTAAAATGAAAAAAGTGACATCGGAAGCAGCTGTTAATGTGAAATGTGTGATTAAGATTTATCTTAATGCAGTTTCCATCCAGCAGTTACGTATTTTAGTTACCACCAGTGTTTAGTGCTCACTGTCTGTGACCAGAGTAGGAATGCTTATTTCTCTCTGAAGCCATTCTACAATGACAGGTAGTCTTAGACATTTTTAGTCGTATATCATCTACTTAATACCAGTAGTTACCTTGTGGATTTACTAAAACATACTGACTTGCTCTAGTAAAAGCTCTGCTGAGGTCTGAAGTTCTTTTGAACTCTGCTGATGTCAAAGCAGCCTCCCAAGGTAACACTCATCTAGAGTTTGTGCTGCACTCTGCTGGGAGTGTATTATCTTTGCAGTAAACAAGACTGTATTTGTATTTCTTCCTATTTTTTGTAAAGGAGCGGTTGTGTGCTAGTGGCTAATACTTGACCTGTTTATTCTGCATGTGGAAATCATAGAAATACAGATGTCCATGGATTGCCTGCAAGCAAATTCAGTATTTTCCTGGAGAAAACAAACGAACAAAAAAAATGAATATTTAAATTTCAAAGCAAGATACATGTGGGAGGAAAAAAAAAATCCCAAAGTATGTAGTACTTGTGTTAGTACCTCCAAAATTTAAAGCATCTATTTTCTAGGATAGGCAGCCCCAAGCAAGTTCTCAAGTGGAGACAGTTTTGTTCTTTGATATGCCTGAAAGTGGCCCATGTTGCAAACTTTCTCGGCATTGACCAAACTATATGTAATTCACTAATTGAATTGGCGCCGATTTCTTTTTACAGGCATAAAATCTGTCATATGCTAGTGTTATCCCCTTCATGTTCTTGACTTTTGGAAATCTGCTCTAAACTGTGTTCAGCTCCTATTGAGAAAACTGAGTGTGGTTAAAATGCTTGGAAGACTCTCGGAAAAAGGCTGGTAAAAGATTACTACAAACTTTACTATGACAAAGCTACCAGGGAATATCTATTGGTTGTGCTGTTCTCCATATTTTTTTTCCTCTTATAAATGGAAATTTAAGACAACATGTACAGGAATACATAGTTCCACACCAAATCTCAGCAAATTAGTTTGGTGCATCTAACTGATAATGAACTGATTTGGGACTGGGAATTGCAGAGGTCAGAAAAGAGCCAGGAAAGCACTCTAACCTATGTGCTGACTGAAAGCATGCGGCTCTCAGGAGAGGTGCGAAGTTGCTGCTTAGGCTTAGCATATGCTGCTGCTTGCTGCAAACTTCTTGTCATGCTGCTGCTGATGCTGGTGTTAGGAATTGCTAACTACTCAACCACTCTAGAAGTGACCCAGATCTCTCCAGAGCACTGTGCTCTGTCTGACTTTTGCTGGAATCTCCCTTCTCTCCATTCATGATAGCTCGTAAAGGACTGCAGTCTGTTTAGTTTCTGTCTTGAAGCTTTCTGATTATAATGCACAGTAAGATGAGAACATTTTTTAAAGATACTGTCAGCATGGGAATTTATTGGCAGATACAAGGAGGTTCTTAATCATGATATGTTTTGAATCTGTGTTTACGTGCACTCTCCAGTGTGTGGTGGAAGTGGCAATGTTGTAGACAGTATCAACAAAACCTTCAGAACAGCAGATGCTAACAGCAGGTCCAGTTTATATGGCTAGGACAAAGTCTCAGGTCAAATCCAGAATTTATGCCAAAGATCATTTGGAACTGTTACTTCAGAGCTAGGCATTTTCCTCGATTTGTTTTCTTCCTTAAGTCTCATTCTCTTTAATAGAAGCAGGTTCATTCATTACTGTTTAAGAAAGCCTACTCCCTAAAGATAAAGAAATAATACAGTTACCTTTTGTATACCTTTGTGTGTCTGCACACACAGACACACACACACATGTATGCATAGATTTGTAAAGTGTCAGTTCAATAAACATCCAACTCAATTGCGTCTTGTACTTTGTAATCTTACTCTTAAACCTGCTTTGGTTACTGTCCAAGAGAAGATACTTGACTAGGCGGATTCGGACCAGCTACAGCTGTTCTTACTGATTCTGATGAAAAGTCCAAAGGTGCCTCATCATTCCAAACACAGAAAACAGTTCAAAATATCATCTGTTAAACCTACAATTCCAAAGAGGAGCAAACATACATATGTATATTGTTGTGATATTCCCTGGATGCTATTCTTGAACTTTCAAAGATGAAGTTTGTTTGGGTAAGCTGAGAAAAATCTCCATCAAATTTTAACCCTTCTAGGAGGTATTCAATTTTTCTCTTGAAGTGTAATCTATATAATCTTTTAGTAGTGCCAAGTATATTATGCTTAAGCTTTAGTGAATCCTGGAAAGAGCTTGGCTCCCTTGCATCTCTGCCATGTCTTCTCAAAGCCCCCGCAATCCTTTCCTGGTTGTCTTATGTTGTAGCTCTGCAATCCATTTCGTTCTCTTCTTCTGGAAATGAACCATCTGGTTCACACACTACATGAATTAATTGCAGCATCCAAAAGTGAAAGCAATATTAAAACTGTCTTAACATATATGAGGGCACATATTAAAAAGAATGTGTGTAATATCAGTGTACCTATACTGTTGCTATTGCTCCCATCCTTATCTCTGTCATTTCTTTTTATTAAAAAAACTGAAATGGAATTGGATGCCTGCACACTCTGTTCTTAACATGTGGTAGGTAGCACAAGGTAACAGGCATGTGATCCACCCCTAGAGCATTGCACTAAACGTCTTTAATCAAAGGGTAGTTAAGCAGGATGTAGCTTAGCTTTGGAACTTTTATGATACTTACGAAATATTAGTAATACTTACAAAATATTATTTTGTATGGTATCTGAAATATGGCAATGGTGGGCCATGCAAAGAAACCAAGCTAAGAATCTTGAACTAGAATCCTGAGAGCAGCTAGTGTGCATCAGCTCAGTGCTCTATCTGGCCCAATGTGCCCTGTTTGTTAGCTAAATCAGCTCTTTGGGTTAGATCCAATACCTTCGTGATGCACTGCTTCATGCCATGCAGAGTGCCTTAACAGACAGCAATAGTTCCTGAAGAGTAAGTAGCCCTTTTTATTCTGCTGCAGCCACATTTGGCCTTCATCACTTGGGCATCTTGCTTTGATGAGTCTTGCTACATTAATTCTCATCTGCCAAAAACATTTAAGATGCTGGTGTTTGCCTGTAGGCAGAGTCCTTGCCCAGAGGAGGCAGAGGGAGGCAGTGAGAATTGCTGATTATCGGCAGCTCGCTATTTGAGGGCTGCAGCATGATCTCACCCGTTTGCATTTGATTCATTTTTCTGAATTTTACAACTATAAGCGATACAACCTTTCTTCTGTCCTCCAGTATCCCAAAAGAAAGAAACCAATGCTAGTCAGCATATTTTCCACTTCCGTGTGTTCTTTCTGAATAGCTGTTTTATTGGCTTGGGGCCTTAGATTTTACAGTAGCATCAGAACCATCTAGGGATAGAAATGAAATATGCAGAAAATAATGTCTTCAAATTAAATATGAATAGTTAAAAGTATGTCTGCAGCTAAGTTTTCTTTAGCCCAAGGCAAGACATGACAGCACTGGGTCAGATGCTATTCCTTTCTGGAGCAGGATTGATAGCAGGGCCTATTTGCTTCTGATTCTTCTGGTTCCAGTGTTGTAAGGTCTCTGCTAACATGACTCAGAATACCTTAGCTCCAGTGTGCCGTATAGAGTTTTATCTAAGAAGTCGTTAGCCTTCTGGATGTAAATAGCACAGCATGATTAAAATTTTAATTGATTATCTGACAGCTATAGTTTTTGTTTTATGAAAAAATCCATAAATTGACTTGTTTTGATGTACGTTTCAAGAAAATGAGAAGTAAAGTATGATATATGCAAAGAAACTGATCAATTTTAAAATCTACTGTTCTCTTTTGCTATTTCAATATGAGTTATGTTGTTATGATTGTGGATACATCTGTCTTTAGTACCTATGAAGATATTTTCCTCAGTTTATTACACTGTGGGTACTGTGCTGCCCATTTGCATGGCTAGATAACATACAAAACTGCAAACAAAATTGCTTGTAACATATTGCATTTTTTTGGATTAAAATTTACTGGTATTAGAACCAGTTCTGTCTTGCTTCTCAAACCATTAAAAAATATCAAAATTCTGATTAAAAAATGCAGGAGTTAAAGACTCTTTTTCCTTCTGTTACAAAGTTGGATACTTCAGCCACACAGTTTTTCTGGAAGAATAGTATTTTAGGATAGAAGATTCAGACCACCTATTCAGGTAACATTGCAGTTTTCACTGTAATGTCAACTCAGCTGTGCTTTGAGTACAAGGGATGTCATCAGACT